TACCCTTAATTTAAAAAAAGAAAAGAAAAGAAAAGAAATGGATGGTGGATATGTGGGTTGCATCGGTTGTATAATCTAGAGGGTTGCATTTGAACGTCGCTCTTGTATATATAATGCATTAATGCATATACTCAGTGAAATTTATTAGTGTATATGCATCAATGAATATATAAACTTTTACGGTTATCAAATTTCTTATAATTCTTGCATGAATTACTTGTATTCACATGTGAATATAATTTTTTTTTTTAACAAATAAAAAAATAAGTTAGAAAATGAAGGAGTAGTTCTTATTGGTGCATCATCCATTATTAGAAGCAAGACAAAATTGAACCATAAAACACCATTATGCTTAAAAGCCTAAATTTGTGAAATGTATGCCATCACCATCTTCATCTTGATATATGCTTAAATAAATAAGTTTTTATTTGTTATTATATTTTAAATTAATTTTATATATGTGTAATACAATATGATATATAATTTAAATATAAACTAATAATAAAAATTTCATATGATATCTCATTAAAAAAATTAAAATTTATGTTTGAATATGATTTTTTTTAATTAACCTGGATATCTAATCCGTTATGTGAGCCGACTAATCCCAGGACGACTACCTGCTTTGCAGATAGCCCGAAGTCACCGCATTTGAACCTCCGTGACCACAAGGGGATTTTTATTCTTCCTTGAATTTGAATCTGGAACCTCTAGATACTTTTGACCTTTGGAGTCAAGCTCAAACCAATCAGGCACCACTCTTGTGGTTCAATATGAACTTTTTTTCATCTCACTCCAGCAATTATGCTAAAATGTATTTTATAGGGAAAAAAAGATAGAAACTCTCTAAATTCAGATAAATCTCTAAAACTTTAGGAGGACGACGTATTAATTTAATAGTTTCCACCAATAAGGTTGAATGTGTTATAATTTTTTATAAAGTTTTTCTTAAAGTGTATTGATTTAATAATATAATTAATGTTGCAACTGTTAAAAAAGAGTAGCTATTGGAGTTTGATGTAATTTTTTTAAGATTTTAACTTTTAAGACTATATTTTAAAGATATTACAGTGTTTAACTTTGACAGTTAGCTCAACTGGCAAAATCAGCTAACCTTTGGGTTTCTCTTTGTAGGTTAAGGGTTCGAATCTTTTCAAGGCAATAAAGATTTTTTAAATTGTTATCTTTAGAGACTTATGAAATTAATTGAAATATGTAAATGTTTTTGTTGTGAATGTTCGGCTTTTTTTTACCTTTATAATATTTTGTTATGAAGTTTCAAGTGTAAAAATGTTGTCTCACGTATCTCACGAAAACAAGCTAGTTTCACATGATCCCAAGTCTATATATATTATATTATACTAGTTGTATACCCGCGTAATACGACGGGATGTCAAATTTTCAAATAAGCCTACAACTAAAAATGAGTGCAACTATTCATTAAAAAGTACAAAATTTATATTTAAACAATCGATCTTACAAGGGGAACCTTAGAAATATTTAAACCTCGATTCCTTATAGTTGAGTACTCGTGCGATGCAACATGATGTAATCAAGTACAATGTAACAAATAAGAAATTATTGTGAATTTTATTTTACACGGACATGAAAATCAATTATGTTGTCCAAATAATTATAATGAAGGAAGAAACAAATATCTAGTAAATACATTTAAAAAATAAATAAATTATCTTATACAAACAGAAATAGAAACCAATATCCACCTTTTTGCAAAAGAGAGCTAAAATTAGCTAAAATAAAAGTTTTAATTAATAAAGAATGGTGTGAAGATATCAAAAAAAGAAAGAAAGAAAGCTCTTAATAAGGAAGGAAAAAAGCTGAAAAGAAATAAAGCAAAGTTGTAAGTTTCAACTTGGATGTTATTGGTGGTGTGCATCAACAATTGTACCTTATGCATGTGAAGTCGTAATTAATAGATTTTTGAAATTTATGCATAAAAGGGTAGTACTTTGGGTTTTTTTTTTTTTTTTGAAGTATATAATATTTATATACGGCAAATGCAACAAATAAACTCACACATCCTTCTCAACTATGGTGAGGTTTGAACCCTGACCTCCTAGAAGACCAAGGGCTATGATACCGCTAGGCCAAAGGCCTTTAGTAATACTTTGGGCTTTATAAGTTATAATTAAGACTTTTGGTCTAAATGCTTATTAATATTGTATATATATATATATATATATATATATATACAGAGAGAGAGAGAGAGAGAGAGACTTGAGATCATGTGAGACCAAAGGTTTTTCGTGAGACCTGTAAGACCAATTCTCAACCCTTGGATTAGATCTACAATCTGACAATTTGAACATTCATAAACGCCACGAGACTTTTTAATAATTACAAAATTGTTACCGTGCAACTTTAGACCATTAGATTATTATCTTATAAAGTTGATCAATGAACATAAATTGATCTCACATGAACTCAACCCTATATATATATATATATATATATATATATATATATATATATATATATATATATGGGGTGTGTGTGTGTGTAACTTAGTTGACAATCCACCTTTTTTTGAAATTATATGTTGTTAGCAATCTAACATGATGGAATAAAAAAAAGATATCCAACCAAGCACATCTTAATCTTAATGGGCTCCTTCTGCTTTTAGGAGACTTTTTGTAGACAAGATGCCATAATCATGCAATACAACTTGTATATGAGTTCTAGATTCCATGATTTTAGTTTGGTCAAAACAAAACTTATCTTAGCATGGTTAAGGAATGATAAATAGACAGATATTAGACGATGTCCGACCTTTAACTGATGGAACATAATAGAGACAGTGGAGTTTCATTTTTTCTCAGGTTCTTTCAGGATGTGTTTGATATACTAAACAACAGTGGCGTGGAAAAATGTAATGGGGAACATGAAATATAAATCATGTAAAACCTAAATTTTAACCTAGTAATTTTCTTTTTTAAGTTTTTGACTGGGGTCCCTTCCCCCCACCTTTTGCCTACTGTGTTCGCCCCTGCTATACAGAATAGAACATAATAGAGATTTATGTTTTACGTTTGGCAGGACTTTTATGTGAAATAAAGTGGAACATGCTTGTTTCACCCTTATCCCATGGAATATGGTGGAAGAAACTTATATTTTACCAATATAACCTCAAAATAAAACTTAATTCTCTTCTAAAACACCAAATAGATCTCCCTTTTTTACATTTTATTCATTCTGTAAATTTTATTTATTGTATTTTATGTTTTTTAAACTTTCATTTTACTTTTCTCAAAATATTATTTTATATGGTTTCTATATTTTTATATGTAATTTATTATGTATTAATGATTAAAAAAATGTAGAAAATGGATAAAAATATAAATTGAAAACTATATAAACCTTTTATTTTGATATCATTTTAATTGATTTGACGAAAACTTTTTAATAATATATTTTTTTATAGAAAATAATTATTTTATTGTATGTAACACCCTAGTTTCACATTTCATATAACCCACATATTTCATCTAACATGAAATTCAAATAATTACACTTGCCCCGAAAGTACAACTTGCTACGTTACAAAAGTAACTACAAAATTTTCATTTACACTAAGTACATGACTCGTAAATATAATAAATTCTCAAGTACAAGTAATATAACATTTTCCAAAATCCACATATGAAAATCAATCATTATATCTTCACATTTTCCCTTTTCTCTCATCCTCCAATTGTGTCCGGCATGTAATGCACATTTTAAAATACAAAATGAATGTTAGACTATAAGGTCTAGTGAAAAATCTCTTTTGATTGTTGTTACAGAATGAAAATCAATAAAAACACTTTTATAAAGTCCATATTTGTAATAATAACAAATAAACAGTGTTTTATCAAAACAAACATCTTTGTCACATCATATAAATAAGACAACTTCATCTTATCGCATCATAGGCTATTGAAGTCTCAAATTATCACATTAAATAAACAAATAATCAAGTTGTCGCATCTCACATGTAATATACCAACTTATTGCATCACATTGATGCGATAACAAATCTTGTCGCATCATACTCATGCGCTAACCCCCTTGTTGCACCTTACTGATGCGATAACATAATTTCTCGCATCATATAGATGCGAGCACCTCCTTTTGTCGCATCATACTGATGCGATCACTCTGACTTATCGCATCCAACAGATGCGAAAAACAAATTTGTCAAATCCAACACATGCGATAACCACCGCTTTCTCGCACCATATTGATGCGATAATCATAACTTCTCGCACTACACTAGTGCAATAAACTCAACATGTCACATCCAATCGATACAATAACAAATAATCCCATGATCAAGAGATCATCATTTCTAGAATTTGATTATGTCACCCTTACCCAGTATACCCGGCTCCTGATCATGTCACCCTTATTACAAAGATATATCCAACTCCTGATTATGCCACCTTTAAAACTAAAAATACTCAGCTCCTGATTATGTCACCCTTATTACAATCAGATGATAAAATTATATCAACACCCAAAATTTATGCTAATAAATAACATAAAATCGTCACATATTCGCGTATGAAACCTTCGGTTTCTTCACCCAAAAAACACATTAAAGAATGTTTTCAAAGTAAAAGTCACAATTTGTAATTGCACGTTGATTACAGGTATAAATAACAATCATAAAAATCAATTTATGTAATTTTATTTATCCTAATAACACACCAGATACCTGTTTATTTCTATCTTAATCGATTTTTAACAGAGACGATTTTTTATTAAAATACAAAAGGTATAAAAAATAGTATAAAAACTTGATAGAATGTGAATGACACTGAAAGGATGGTTGAAAGAATCTAAGCATATGCTTTTTATAAAAAGACACCTCCTCCATCAAAGGGATTAAAGAAAAAGCAAACTTTCATAAAGATGTCTTAACGCTACTTACTAGCTGGCCTTTCTTAAAATGCCCAAATCCAGTTGATGAATGTAGATCTGACCTCTACTTCAAGGGGTAGAACAACTGGAAATGTTTCCATGAAGACAACGTACATACATTTTACAGACCAACTCACATGCAAAATTAACGGTAATATTGTAAGAAAGCGGTTGATAGTGTTTTAACTTATATGTGCATCTAGTAAAAGAGCCACAGTAGTTTCTTCTGCAGCATCAAACTCAGGTATACAACACCATTTTACAATGAAAAGTTATGAAAAATTGTATATAAACCTTCACATCAAGTGAACATCTTTCCTTGTTTTGGTTTTCTTTGGGTGTGATCCAGATATCAAGAACCCACAATTGTCTTGGATCCAGTCCTCCCACATGAGGTTGCCATGAAAAGACATCATATCTTCACCTGCTTCCCTGCAAATAGATACAAGCAGTCATACAATTACACCATCTTTCAATGAAAATTTTCATAAATATTATTCAGCCGATCATCAGACCAAACCAAATGATTCCACTATATCCCGCTCTAGATCAGGGTTTGGCGGTGGGATGTACGTTGATGTACGTTGACCTCGCCTCTACCCCAAAGGATAGAACGGTTGTTTACATGAAGACCACTCACTTGTGCAAAAATGTGAGCAAACAGAAAAGCATAATGATGCAGAAATACTATGGAGTTAGATGTTTCATAAAAGAACACATGGACTAGTGGCATGCGGAGATAGGGACAAATCGGATAAATATGAATAGTCCACACCAGAACAAAAGCAGGATCACCAATTTGGAAATTTCAGAAAATAATTCTACCAATTTAAAAAAGAAGTGGTGATAATTCAATTTGTATGCATTGTTTTTTTTTTTTTGAAGTATATAATATTTATATACGGCAAATGCAACAAATAAACTCACACCCGAGGTTTGAACCCCTGACCTCCTAGAAGGCCAAGGGCTACGATACCGCTAGACCAAAGGCTCTTTGGTAATTTGTATGCATTGTTCATGGCATATATATTCTATTTGGTGGTCTTAGGAATCAAACCAAACCAAACAAACCCGGTATGTCTCATCCAAAAGTGGGTCTTCAGGGTGGGGGTGGGAGTGGGATGTAGGCAGATTTATTCTTTACCTAGAAGAGTAGAGTGGTTGTTTCCAGGAAGACTAATGAAGGTATATACACATGTGAAAGTGAAACTATTTTGTGCATGATACCATACTGATAGGGGTAGATTCATGTATAGCCGAGGGGGTATAGCCTTAAAAGTTACCTCCGTTCTAATTTGATTTGTGCTCCCGTAAGTTAACAAAGTGGTTATAGCCTACCGATGGTGTCGTTACAAGTTTGAATACCTTTGGATCTTATTAGGTTTTTGGTGACAGCAACAGAAATCAGGCCCATGCGCCCATACGGAAGCTGCTTCTCAATTTTAATATTTTGTTTTTCTAAATTCTTCTATATTTCAGCAATATTTTCAATAAGGATGCAAGACTAAGCGTGTACCAAGAAAGAAGGAAAAACCACTTGGGTGTTGTAAAAAACCACTCGTATGTCATTTTTACTGAAACCTTACTTTTTTATAATTATTTTTCTTTTCTTTTATATTATGATAATTATTTCGGGCCCCCACTTGCAAACTTTTCTAGATCCACCTCAAAATACTAGTGCATCACTTAAATGCTAAAAAGTTACCTGATTTCTACTCTAACAATCATCTGGGTCCATAAGGGGGTTGATTCACATAATTCCTCAACAGTGGAACATCTTCAAGGGTATAATCATCATCACTATCATAGCGTATTTCTTGATGTGGCCCAAGAGCTTTGAGAACGAGAGCCAAAAGCACAGACAACCCCTGGCATTCAGATAGAAAACTTCTATTAACTAAATGTAACAATTAATCAAATTAGATCCACTTAAAGTTAATGTAATGGTATAATTAGTGGATGCGATGAGATGGATGAAGCAATGGGTACTAGTGCAGCAAAAAAACCCCGAAGAATGATAAAATGTTAAAAATCAATGGTGGCTCAGAAATGTCACCATGATGTGATATTTGGAACTTGTAAGATGTTTACCATTCTCGAGAGAAAAAAACTGTAACTTCTTGTTTTGATACTTAAACAACTTTGAAAAGACTCGGATAAATACGAATACCAAATTATGAAATAAGTTAGGGCATTATCTTGATTCTTTATCGACTTCTACTAACTTTGGGAGGTGGGTAAGACGGTAAGTGGCTTAAATGCAAATCATAACAGCAAATGTGATGCAAAATGCAAACCCTATTGTTTCGAGGAATGAGCATATACCAGGAATGATGTAGAGATGCCAATATAAAGGAGCTCCTACTGAGACTGGTGTTTTAACTCTTATCTTTATGGACGGGGAAGCAAAATCTAACTGAAAATAAAATGTTTACAGAGATTTTGTGCAACATATAAGATGTAGTAAAATAATATATCATAAAGAACCAAATGGTTGAAAGAACTTTTTGAGTTCAGTCCACAAGGTTTTTCAATGATCAATCAACATCTCATTGTGAAGATAACTTTTGAGTTCAGAACCCCAAGTTTTTTACATCATCATGGAGAGAACCTTCAAGTTAAGCCCACAAGGTTTTTCCATGAGCAACACAAAGCAAATGCTGCATGCACTACAAGAATAGGAATCATGTTTATCCAAAAAAAAATAGATTAGGAATGATGTTAAAGTGTCAAAAGATATTTAAGTTAATGGGGGTAAATAGTACAGAATGGCGATGTGTCATAATGTAAAAGGCAAGCAGATGAAGTGGTGGTAGGCATCGAGGGGTTTTGTGTGACCAAAAACCCCACTGAACTTAAAGAGTTAGTTTTACAAGACATTTTGAGTGAGTGCGACAGAGAAGGGGGGAGGGATGCACACACAGACCTGCACAGCAACTACAGACAAGCCAACCCATTTGCATATTTCAAAGTTCTCCTTGATAAAATCCCTGAACTCATGGAAGTTTCCACTTGGGTCTATAGGGAAGTCCTGATATGCAAAAGCCAGATTAGAACAGCAAACACTAAATGGGACAAATCATAGCACTCAGTGCAGAGACCAGAAAATAATAAAAAATGGAAAGAAAAGAAAAGAAAATCATATCAACCAACTACTGTAAAGCTTCATGATTAAAAGTACCTCTTCCCAGTTCCGGTTCAGAAATACGTCCATTGTGACTGCACCTTCCAGCATTAAGAGCAAAACGACAAAGACCAAGTACTACAAGCATGTTAAGTTGTCAATGGTATAATGATTTGTACTTTCATCAATAAAGATACCAAGTCAAACTTCAATGAAATATGTTAGCGCAGATGTACCGATATTGAGTTATTGACAATGTACGGAAGGTAAAACAGCTATATCGGCTATTCGGCTTCTTTAAAGCATGATTATTTAAAGAACCTACGTCATGAGAAGCACATTTAGATATCACAAGCATGAAATTAGTATCAAGACTTGCTGTTTCTTGTTTATCTTCTTTGTTTGAACAAGTATACATAACCTTAGAAAGTTCAGAAAGGAGAAAAACCACGTCAAATCAAGGCATCTCAGACCATTCAAGATTACAGGGGCATCAGCACCAAATATGGTCATACAGCCTTGGAAGTGGGCAAGTAGATAGCAGACTTGATATGTTCAGGGAGCCTACTTTGTGTTGGGTGTCAATCCAATAAAGTCAAGAAAGGAGTTTGAGGAGCATCAATAGTCTAAATAACATAGATGCCCTGCATACGCACGAGACTTCAAGTCATATGTATGGAGTACACATATTTACACCGAGAATTGTTATGGAGGTGGGAACGAACTACTCTACTCCTAAACTGAAAACCAAACCAAAGTTGCTAAATGTACATGAAAAAAAAGAAACAAAAAACTCAAAAGTTTACTCTAGTGAAGGAGAGAGATATACTAAACGATTTGTGCAGAATCAATACAATCCACCAGAAATAGTGAAAATGGCAATACGCATATCATGCATGCAGTTTACTGAGATCAGCTTTGGCAGTAAACTACATGCCATGATCAGATACTCACAAAATAAAAAATTCAGCCAAGAAGAAAGAAAACATGGAAATTCAAATTGAGTAGTAACATAGAAACGGCTAAAAATACGATCAGCTATATTGAGTTATTAACTATATAGTATTTCCAGTTCCGAACAAACAAGAGTAATGTTAAACTGAGGATACACAATAAAGGCAGCAACCGTTTGCTGTCTCTGCAGCAATATGACCTGAGCACGTGATCACACACAAGGTTGCACCAAGTCCAAGCATAGTGTATATGAACCTGCACTTTCAATGCAAAAAGAAAGGCCAGTTTAGCCAGATAAGGCATAAACAAAGTATATGTATAGCTTACCATATCAGGTGCTTCCAGAAGTTGACATACGAGAACAAATAATGACAGTGTTATTCTACATACTTTCATAAGCAATAGCATTAAACTACTAGCACCATTCTACGGTTCGAGTGAATTATTTTCTCATTCCAAACAAAGAGTTCTAATCACGGCATCTAATTGCATCTTTAATTACATGTATCTTCATAGCAAATACTGAAAATCAAATCTGAGCAACAGGAGTAACAATAGCTGATTAGGCTTGTTAGTCCATTCATAGGGCATTCACATCAGCTTTTTTTTTCTAAAAGGCATCCAATTTATCCATGAAATGCTTAAATCAATTGTTTCGGTATTTGAGAACATGGGAATCACACATTTTAGAAAGTACTTTAATAGCCAGACTTCATAAAGACTATAAATCCAACCACCAATCTGGAGACCCCATGAAACCTCATAAATAAGAGTTGAGAACGACATAAATGCTAAGATTCAACAACCATGACTTTTTGATGGAAATAATTATTGTACTAAATGGCAAAGTAGCATAACTGCATAAACAACCAAAGGACCAATAAAGCCAAAAAAGATGAAATGATCTGGTAACTTTCATGGTTTTCCACACCCTTTTAGCTCAACAAACAAAATTTAGTTATCAAATAAGTATTGCAATCATATCACTTGCATTATTTCCCTTCAATTATCATCGAAACCACAAATTCAGTGTAGTTCAGATGCTCAATAGAATTGTAATAATGTCATTAATTGTGAACTTAAAGGGTTCGATTGGATTGACATGATGTACTTGAGAATGAAAGCAACTGAATTCAATAGATAGCTTACAATCAACAATCAAGTAAAACCTTTTTCTCCTCGAAAGCATAACGCACCCACCACTAACATATCTCAACACTTGTTTCACATGCATATACACACTACACACATTTACAGTAAAAGATGAAAATGTAAAGAAATAATATATATACCAAGGAATAGGGTGATCGGAGTCATCCATCTGGCGCTGCCAAACCCTAATCATCCAAAGGGCGTAAATGATCATGGCGATCCCAAACATTCCGATGAAAGAATTAACCATCTTCAGCAACGATTGAATGCAACTCCTCAACATGCTCGTCATTTTCTTTGGATGGATCAACGATCACCCCCAGGAAGCTAAGAAAAACACAATTCGACTGTTGTCCAATTATCGGTAATGGGAAAACCAAAATCCCAAACCCTAAGATAAGAATTAGGGTTAGGATTTTGGAAGGGGGTTGATCCACAATAATTAGCTGATGGCAGCTCTGCAGAATCAATGTTAAATAAAATTTGAATTTATATTAGCAGATTTTGACGACTACAACAACCAGTCCGCCGTCACGCCGATCAAAGGGGTTCTTGATTTTGAGCTCCGTTGTATCATAATAAAAACCAATTTTAGTCCCTGTGTTTTGCTCAAATTATCAATTAAAGTCCCTACAAAGAATGTTTTTAAAAACATAACCCATTAGTTTCATTTTTAGAACGAGTTGGGTAGTTAGGTACCTTTTGCTAATGACTGTTAAAAAAACTTATCAGATTGAGGCATTTTAGGGGTCGTTTACCAGACACTTATTCGGTAAGTGCTTACTAGTAAAATTTAACATTATTATTTACTTACCGGGTAAGATTTTAATCCATCAAAACGACATTGTATGCAACAATTCACTGGTAAGCGCTTACCGTGGTAAGAGTAGTCGCTCTCACTTACCGGGAAAGACTCCTATTCCTTGTCCCGCTCTTACCGGGTAAGATTCTTAGTTCTTAGCATATTCATCTGGTAAAATTTAAGACTATCATTTCCTTACCGGGGTAGATTTAGTCCATCAAAACGGTATCGTATGCAAAAATTTACCCGGTAAGCGCTTAACGTGGTAAGAATCGTCGCCCTCACTTACCAGATAAGACTCTTTGTCATTGTCTCGTTCTTACCGGGTAAGATTCTTGGTCCTAACCATATTTTGGTGCTCACTTACCCAAGTAAGTGTCTAGTAAACAGCTCCTTAGTTACGATTTTAAAAAGAAAAGGTTTGAAGTAATTGGTCGTTTTGTGAATTTCATCATCAAACCGAACCATTGTGTGCACTCTGCATTCCAAGTTCAATAAAAACCAAGATATTTACAGATTTATAAATTGGGAGATGAAACATTTAAACACAAAGTTGTTGTGGCGTAGTGGTTATCACGTTAGTCTTACACACTAAGGGTGCGTTTGGTAGGTAGAACAGGATGGGACAAAACTGAACAAAACACATTTATTCCATGCTTGGTGTGGTTTTATGTGGGACTAATTAGAACTAGGTAGAACACGGGTAGGACACGGTTGTCCTCCCTTCCCCCATGGAACTAACTAGAACAAGGAAAATTTGACCTATCTACCCTCCATCTTCACATCGTCGCCTCCATGTTCCACCGTCTCCTTCATCTTCACATTGTCTTCCCCCCTGGACAGAGTCGTTCCCCTTCATCTTCACATCGTCGCCTCCATCTTCATCGATCATCGCCTGCATCTCCATCGATCGTCGCCTCCATCTGCACATCGTCGCCTCAGGTAATCGATCGACAGCACCAATCGTTCGATTTTGCTATTTTCTACTCGATTTTTAATCGATTTTGCTGTTTTCTACTCGATTTTTCTAATCGATGCTTGCCTGTGTTCTTCCTCCCCATCGACAGCGACGACCACGCTTCTCCTCCCCATCGACGGCGACATCCTCCATTGACGGCATCTCCTTCATCTCGACGACGACAGGTACCTTCATCTACCGGGTTTGTGAAATCGATTTGCTATGTTCGATTTGCTGTTTTCGATTTGCCCTATGTTCGATTTGCTGTTTGATTTGCTATGAATCGATTTGCTATGATTCGATTTGCCCTATGTTCGATTTGCTGTTTGATTCGATTTGCTATGTTCGATTTGCAATGTATGATTTGCTGTTCGATTTGCTGTTCGAGTTGCAATGTATGATTTGCTGTTCGATTTGCACTGGGGGTAAATTGGTCATTTCCACCAGTTATGTTCTGTTATGTCATGCCTTACCAAACGTTGAACAGCTGTCCAGTCCTGTCTTATCCTGTTCTGTCCTGTCTGTGCACCAAACGCACCCTTATAGACATATTATTTTTGGTTAATGTATATAATCTATTTTTTATACAATTTTTTGTATTTTGATTAATTTATGTAATTTATTAAATATCATTAAATAACATAGAAAACATATAAAATAAAAATTAGAAATCAATAAACTTCATATTTTGGTGTCATTTCACCAGTCCATTCATGTTTTACCAAACACTGAACAACAGTCATGTTGGTTTTTTATTTCGTTTTACTCTGTCTTGGTACCAAACACATTTTTAACAACAGTGGCGGAGCCCACTAGGAGTGTCAAATTCATTGTTTGGGATTTGCTTATTTTAGCTGCTTTTTGAGTTATTTCAGTCTGGCACCGGTGATAAGCTAAACGGTAGTGTTTGGATGAGGAAAAATAAAACTGTTTATACCGGTGCCAAACCGGTAATAAGCAGTTTTTGATAAGTTAATTTTTTCTGACTTATGAAAAACTGCCTATTACCAGTTTATCATTTTAACCATGTTTTATTAATGTTTGTTAACTATTAATCTTATTGATATAAATCATTAATCTGATTGATATAAATTTTTATCAAAGATATTATTATGAATGATGAAAAATAAATTTTTATATGTTAAAAAATAAAATAAGTTAATAAGCAATCACAAACACTCCCATAAGTCAATAATACGGAAGACTGTCATTTTTGATCATTTTACATATATAAGCAAAATTTGCCAAATACTAAAAAACAACTTATCGGCTGATTACTTTTTGGTACCGTTATAAGCTAATTCAAACACTTTTTACAAAACTCCGGTTTAATACCACATAAGTTAAAAAACACTTTTACAAAAAAACATAAGTTGTTTTAAATAAGCAATCCCAAACACCCCCTAAGACCATCCAACTATTTGCATTACCAACAGTACCTATTAAATTGATTGGTACGTGGTATTGAAAATCGTCTACCATGGTAATATTGAACCGTACCGACTTTTACACAATCCACATTCCACCATTCGAAGACCAAATAGTTCACACCTTTACACAACCACGCAAATTTGCAATCGATTTTTCGGTACGATACCATGTTAATACATTTGTAATTTCAACTTTTAAGAAAGATGTCGGTACAAAATCGTACCAATATGTACCGATTGAAAAAAGTTACTTGGTTGAATAATTGATATCCAGAGCAGCCCATCAATTTAAGCCCAAATAAATTGTTTTTGCTTTTATTAGTTACCGGGCCCTTCGTAACTTTTATCCATTTAGATTTCACGGAAATTTGTAGGATACGAAACCCGCGTCTCATATACACACCCCCCCTCTACGAGTCTCACGCCACCACCCACCGCAGCTGTCCGGACTAACGGGCGACGGCGACCACCGCAGATTCACCTCGCACCGGCTCCAACCACTCCCTTTCCCCTTCTCGGACTCGCCTACTCTCAAGCTCTCAAATCTCACAGGTTAGGGTTTCCATTTTCAGTTTCTGAAACTTGGAAATTATTAACAGAGGCGCATAGCTCGTTAGATTTTTGTGTTTTGATTTACATATTGGAATTACCTTTACTAATTAATAATTTATGTGTTTGATTTTGAACTTGAAATTGTTACGTGAGTTCTTTAGATTTAGATTTTGTGTTTTAATTTAGAAACTTATAATCACTTTTTTTAACATCATAATAATAAAATCAAAACCAAAGAAAACCAAAATATGATGAATTTCGCTAGAAAAGTGTTCTGACTCATCAATGGCTGGAAAAAAAGATTAAGACTCTTTGACCCCTTCTGCCCATTTTGATTCTATGGGTTTGCAACATATAATCTCTTTTTCGATATAAAGTAACCTCAAATAGGGATGGAAATTGTACCTGACCCGTCGGGTAACCCGGTCCACCCGCCCCAATCGGGGACGGGGATTCCCCGAAAAATCGGGTCCCGGGGACGGGGACGGGGATGGGGATGGGGATCCCCGCTTGAAGCAATTCGGGGATAGGGCCAGGGACGGGTATAGCACTCCCCGCCCCGCCCCGTACCCGTTTTATATATATATATATATATATATATATATATATATGTTTTTAAAAAAATTGGGCCTTGGGCTTGAAGCTGTAAATCCTAATTTCTTACTCCATAGTCCATAGACAATTAGACATAGTCCATCCCTTACTCCATAACTCCATCCCAGCATCCCTGATCGGCTTTGAGCCTTTGAATTTTGATATCTCCATTTCTCCTCCGACTCCAACTCTCTAAGACCGGCGGTCCTCCTCACGATTCACGAACCACGCACGGCGGCACGGCGCTGCAGTAAGGAACTGCTCTCTGCCTCTCTCCCGAGTCCCGACAGGCGGCTCTCTCCCGACAGGCGACGCCGCGACGGCGACAGCCGACAGGCCCTGTGACCGGCCCAGCGCTGCTGCTCTTTCCGCTCCAGTCTCCACAGCGCTGCTCTTTCCCTMCAGGTCTTGTATTCTTCATCTTCACTTCTTGTAATCTTGTTATATACTTATATTATTAGTTTACCTAACCTATTTGCCTACTTGCCTTCTTGATTTGTGAACTAATGTGGACCAAATTTATATATTATTGTGGTTTGTCAGTTTATTTAAACAAATTAGGTATACATACATACTGAGAAGTGTAGACCATATTTTGTAATTAGGGATGCATACATATTGTGGTTTGTCAATTTATTTAAACAAATTAGGTATACATTATACAAATTAGGTATACATACATACATACTGAGAAGTATGTATTTTGTAAGTTTATTATAGATTCTTATTAATGGTTTTTTCATTCATTATCATATACAAACTTTTTAATTTTAGATGGAAACTTCGGATAACGAGAACATACATGGTGATGTGAATGAGATGGAAGGAAACAAGAACAAGTAACAACCGGTGATGATCCCCGTTTCCCCGTTGGGGATCCCCGTTCTCCGTTGGGGAAGGGGATGGGGATGTGATCATAATCCCCGGCGGGGACGGGGACGGGGACGGGGACGGGGATACATATGAGGATCGGGGACGGGGATGGGTATTGGGGTCCCCGCCCCATCCCCGCCCCATTTCCATCCCTAACCTCAAATCTCAAACCAAGATCACAATACCCTAATGGCGCTTTCATGGCCTTAATGGGTGACGATCAGTCACAGAGATCTCAGAGGTATACTTAACATCTAATTAAAAATTGAAACATATAAACCGTTTCATGTAAATCTGTAAATATATCAAACTCAAAATCATGTC